AATCAGAGGCTCTAACAGGCTATCAGGCCCATGTGCTTTGCTTCTAAAATCTGTTGTTGATGGGCGGCACCTGTAGCTCAAAGAAGTAGGGCGCTAAACCCTCTAGCCGGAAGGCGTTGGTTCAAACCCAGCCCCAGCCAAAAAAAAAAAACAAAAAAAAAATCTGTTGTTGAGTTAGATAAATTAGTTGTTTTCTTTGAGCATCTTTAAGTCTTCATTAACCTCTGTTAAATCTCTTTATCTTTCTAGAAAAATTGTAAACATTATTCTAGCAGGTATTATTAGTACTGAGAATGAGCCTCAAACTGTCTATTACTCATTTCACTTAAAAACATCTTGAACATCTTTTCTGTACATAGTTTCACACGAAACTATTATTTAACTTAAGGTAGGAGATTAATTTTAAATTCTTTGTAATACTTACTATAATTGCACTTGAAAGAATATGTCCATTGTCTGTGTACCCAGTCGTCTGCATGTTCTCCGAGGGGCTAGGACCAGGTTGGTGTTGGTCGTGTTCACTGTGATAGTGAAAATGCCTCCAGTGCCGGCCACAGTAGGAGCTCCACCAGTGTTTTGTGAATGAATAATCATTTCTTTCCACAGGTTGGCTACACAGTGCGCTTTGATGATGTCACCTCAGAAGACACCAAGATCAAGTTTCTTACAGATGGCATGCTTCTGCGTGAAGCAATTTCGGACTCCATGCTTCGGAAGTATAGCTGTGTCATTTTGGATGAAGCCCACGAACGGACTATTCACACAGATGTGCTCTTTGGAGTGGTGAAAACTGCACAGAAGAAGCGAAAGGAACTGGGGAAACTGCCCCTCAAAGTATGTGGCCCACTGAAGGAAATAGGGCTGTGTTTCTTCTCCCCTTTCTAACTAGGATGAGGTGCCAGGGGCCTCAGTCACTGGCTTTTGAGGCTTGGGAAGGACACAGAAAGGCTGTGCCAATTCTTGTTTCCCATCTTCCTCTTTGCTCTCTTTCATAGGTGATTGTGATGTCAGCTACCATGGATGTGGACCTATTCTCTCAGTATTTCAATGGCGCCCCTGTCCTCTACCTGGAGGGACGGCAGCATCCGATCCAGGTTTTTTATACCAAACAGCCTCAGCATGATTACCTGCATGCAGCACTGGTTTCAGTCTTCCAGATCCACCAGGTATGGAGTGGGGTACAAATTCAAAAAGCTCTTTTACCTCGCAATTAGAAGTGAGAGCATTCAGCCTTGAAAAGTAAAGCTACTAAATAAAATAGCTTTGTGAGATGTGTCAGCAAGATGAATAAGGATTTCATTTGTTGGGTCCAGCTTTTTATCTTTTATTTATTTCTTTTCTGTGAAAAGAAAAAGAATTCATTTCTGAACAGCATGTGTCCTCTGGTGAGCCAGAAAACTTACATATATTAGAACAGTGGCTTACCAACTTTTTAAGTCATAATTTCCAGACAGAAGCATGTATTATGTTACAACCAGTACATGATATATTTAACTGAAATAAGTCTCTGAAACTCTACCTCTTTTTTACTACATGTAATGTACTGATATTTTCTATCTTATTAAAAAAACAGTTGATATTGACCCAATAAGGGGTTGCATCTTAGCAGTTTTTCTTTTTTCTAAACTATATCAGGGAAATATTTCAAAATCACTTCTCATTTTATTAAATATTTACTTAAAAAATTTGGGTGACTGAATCACTCCATTTTTGTTTAGTTTGTATAAAACATGACTTGTTTTATCTTCCAGTTAATGTTTTGAGAAAATCTAGAGACAAACTTTTATTCATTTATTTATTTATTTTTGAGACAGAGCCTCAAGCTGTCCCCTTGGGTAGGGTGCTATGGCATCACAGCTCACAGCAACCTCCAACTCCTGGGCTCAAGTGAGTCTCCTGCCTCAGCCTCCCAAGTAGCTGGGACCATAGGCACCCACCGCAATGCCCAGCTATATTTTGGTTGCAGCCATTGTTGTTTGGCGGGCCCAGGCTGGATTCGAACCCACCACCTTAGGTGTTATATGGCTGGTGCCTTAGCCATTTGAGCCACAGGCACTGAGCCTAGAGACAAACTTTTAAAATTAAATTTTAAAAAACATAAAAAAGGCTTGGTACCAGCAACATACACCTGAGCTGGCAGGTTTGAATCCAACCTGGGCCCACCAAACAACAATGACAGCTGCAACAACAAAAAAAAA